AGAGAGAGTGTGTGTGTGTGTGTGTGTGAACAGGGGAGGGTCAGAGAGAGAGGGAGACACAGAATCTGAAGCCGACTCCAGGCTCTGAGCTGTCAGCACAGAGCCCGATGCGGCACTTGGACCCACAAACTGTGAAATCGTGACCTGAGTTGAAGTCAGATGCTCAACTGACTGAGCCACCCAGGTGCCCCAAGAGGCACACTTTTTAAAGCAGTAAAAGCAAAAACTAATTTATGGAGATGTTTATCTAAAGAATATGGAAATATGTAACAAAAAGTGCCAAAATACTTTCCATGCAGCCTATTTCTTTTATGTTGACTCTCAGTAAAAAGAAATAGAGCACTACATTAAAGCACTATGTGATGAAGACAACGTAACCGAAAGACATTACACTATGTAACGTGAGTGGGACAGGTAAACTTCTGGGCATACACTTTGATAGAAATAGAGAGCATGGAAGATTTAGTAGACTGAGTAGACTATTACTCTTAAATATCAATGTTTGCTCTTCCAGTCTTCTCAGAGATACTATATAAGGAACAACTTGACCTTAAGGTCCCTGGCTGATGCCTAAAACACAAGCATTATGCATTCTTGATTGAAAAATGATCCCTGTGCTAAACAGTAGAAGTATGCAAGTGACAGAGGTATCACTGCTCTGAAAATGAAATAAGCCAGTTTGTATTTTGGCTTAAATGGAAAGCAACCCCCTTCTACATGTCAGGCAGCAAAATAACTGTAGAATAAGAATTTTTTTTTTCAAAGGGAAACCTTGGATTTGCTTAAGTGCACAGAGGAGATGAAAAGAAAATTAATATAATAAAAATCAGTAACTTGAAAAAAGATGCCCCTCTGAATTTCCTCCTCTCCATCCACCCTCACATTCTCCTTTAATTAAATCTGACTTCCTTCAGGCACTAGCACTCAACATAATTATTAAATAGCCAAAATTAGTATTTCTATTTTGTTTGATTAATTAAAATTATTGCCCATCTACAGGCAGCAGAATCTCCAAATTTAACTCTATTACTACTCCTCACAGCCAAGTCCAGGACCTCCCACTGGGATTTGATAGATTACAAATTTTATGGTACAATATAAAAAACAATTGTGAAAAATGTGTACCTATTAGAACTGTTTCTATTATCTTTAAACTCAAGTGTACTTTGTGATTTTCAAAAAAACGTGATTCCACAGTAGTTTTTTTTGTTTTGTTTTGCTTTGGCTCTATTTTCAAAAGCATAAATTTCATCTATCATAGGAATTAAATAGGCTTGTGTGGGTTGGTCTAGAAAGCGAATTCTGTTTGTTGCATTGTTACTTTCGGAAAATGAACTCTGAGTCCAAATAAATATTTTTCAAATGGCACCTTTAGGGAAAAAATTATCTGCATAAATTGGAATCCGCTACTTTATTCATTCATAATTTTGCTTGCCCATTTATTAAGGAAGCATTAACATGTATTTACTATACTTTTCAGACATTAAGCTGGGCACTAGGATACAAGTGGGTCCCCCACCACCAAAATGCCTGTAAAAGAACACACTATAGTTGCTTGGTAGTAATATTTCAAACAAATTATTTTAAAAATTATTGAAAGTATGTTCAAATCACAGTGGAAGCAGACAAGATGAAACAATGAATCATTTCTACATAAAATTGTATAAATTCTCCAAAGGAAGTTCCAGTTGAAATGAACCACCAAGAATCAAGCTGGACACTTTCCAAGCAAAGGGAATTCCTGGAGGATGGAGATCCTGGAGCAAAATAATCAGAAGTGTGAACAATGAGGAGCCCTTGTGCAGGAAGGAGAAGCTAAAAAGGAAGCGTTTTGAAAAGCTTTTAGTCACTATACTAAAGAGTTTAAAGTTAATGTTGTAGGTTATTGGGATCCTGGGATCCATGAAAGGTTTCAGATAAGGGAATTGACACAATTAGATCTGTCCTTTATAAAGGTTAATTGTAGCATTGCCATAGTTCAGTGTAGATTCTGCTTTAAAGCACATATGTGTACAATAACCTCTGAAAACTGAACATTCCTTGAATCTCATCAGAACAATCTCTCCACGTCCAAATGTGCTTTTACTTAGCCTCTGAAACCATCATAATCTTATAAAGTTTGAGTCTGAGTAATGAAGACAGATGGGTCACTATTTCAAGACTTAGTCTGAGGCTCCAACTCTTCACATGAAGAGCATTAACTTCATGGCTAAATTGACTATTTACAATTTTATTTTTAAATACCTTTCTCCATCTGGGAGAAATCTTAATCCTTTAGCCATGGATTAAAGAATAAACAAGAATCTTTGAATTTTAAATGTCTTATGCTGTTTTTCTCAGTAAAATATGACCATCTTAGAAGGGATGCTTCAGGTTCTTGTTATTAACAACTTCCTCCATACCCGTGTGTGACTCATTGAAGGGACATCCCTTCCACTGGGCACCAAGATGATGGACTAGCCACCTTCTCCCTCTTGTTTTCCTAAACACTCACCTTTACCAAAACATGACACATGGCTGAAAGAAGGGATCAGCATCATAAAAACTCAACTCATAGGAAAAGAACCCTTTACCACCCACCTGAAAATATCACAGGAAAATAACTACAGGTAACTAAGATGATCCTACAGCACTGCAAACACTAAAAAGAGAAACAAAATGCATGGTCTGGATTTTGCAGGAGCTCTGTCTGCTTTTAGCCCTATAAAACCAACCTGGGCACTAACAGAGCCAAAAAGAAAATGCACTTAAATAGGCCAGTAGGTTACAACAAAACTACTAAGGACACTGTTGGTAAACACTAACTAGGCTTTGGCCAAGACAGCAAAATAATCAGACTCAAACCACTTATTACCACCTGTTGCACATTCTTTACCCTTCCTGCCCTTTCCCTTAACCCCTATTCTCCATCCTAGAGAGTCCAAGATCACACAGTAAATAAAGCCATGACCAGTAAAAATGCCCAGAGCTTTGGCCATTACTATACCAAGCAAAACCTAAAAGGATTTCACTGGACATTTAAGCCCAGAACACTTTCTCACTTTTTCCTGAAATGTACACTCTTGCCTGGAAGGGTACAGGCTATTTGTTCTGCAGTGGTTTTTTTTGTTGTTGTTGTTGTTGTTTTTCTTGAGAACTTAGTTATTCCTCACTTATTATCAGGTTTTATTTTCAAAATGGTTCAAATTCACCAGTATATATGGCCTAAAAGAACATTACTGAGAAACCATCCACCTCTCAATTCCAAATCCCTACAATTAAGTAATAAAACAAAATAATACAGTTGAAAGTCAAGGACAGACTGAATTTCAACAGCCTTTCAGATGTAGAAAAAAAATTACAGCTTCTTCTTCCTTTTAACACACTATTGTGTATTCCTTACACACACCTCAAACTAAATTCCAGATCTGAAAAACTTGCAGTTTATCCTTTATTCCCACTTAAAGGTCTTCCAGCAAGAACATATCTCCCCTGATATGTTTTTAGTTATTTTACAGTTTTGTCAATATCTTGGTCCTCCAAGATGTCTAAGCTGAATTTTCTGACAAGTCAGTAATGGATCTAAAGAACAGATTTCTTGACTTGCTACCTAAAGATCAGGCACTCTAGAAAGACAAAAAGGGGAATTGTATTATTGGGCTCTCTTAGAAGTTGAAATGTCCCCAGAGAAGAGGAAGTATTAAGAAATTTAAAAGGGAGAGCGAGATCTTAACAAGTCTGTTGTGGCTTTATACTTGTTTTCTGGCTTTTTCTAATATGTTAATTCCCTGTGTTTTATGATGCCCAGCTTAATACCAACAGCCATTCTTGCCCTTAAGGGTTGGTTTTGAGTTCTAATTAGAATCAGTGGACAGATTGTTTGTATTTAATCTGTCTGTCCATCTTCTCAGTAATTGAGTAAAGCTCTTAACTGTACTGTAAATATCCCTGGCTTTCAATTAGTTTGTCTTCCTTAGTAGACACAGCAACACATATTGTTTTACTTATGGATATGCAAACCACTTTTATTTATTTTTTCATTTTTTTCCCTTACCACTTTTATATTTCAAATACCCAGCATGATTTATTTCCTCCTTTTAGAAGGAGATCAAATGATGATATCTTGCCAACGTTAAAAAAAAAAAAGTAACAAAAGCTATGATGGAAAGAGAAATAGTTTGAAGATTATCATTTAATTTGAATGAATTAAATAAGCATATTTAATTCATATTTTAACTACAAGGGAGTTTGGACTCCCTATTACTAGTTGTTATTGAAAACCTAGTCTCTCGAAGAATTCCAAGAGTAATACCATCTCCCCTTCTGTATGGGAACTTACAAAAGAAATATAAAGTATTTTTTATGACAACAAATTACATATTTATACTTAAGAGAGGATGGATGCATCTTCAGAAAGTTACTTTTTAAAAAAAAGAAAGTTACTTTTTAAGATTCTCTCGGGTAGCTTGAAATTCACGAAAGATTCCCTATCATTTTATGTTTGCAATAAAAGTGTTCATTATTAAAACCTACCTCTGTATGCCTGTTATCAGGAAACTCTTATAAGACGCTAGGGGGAACAAACGGGAGGGTCGGGGAGGGGGTGGCGGGAGAAGGAAGGATGGATAGTAAGGGAGCTGAACTGCACAATTTTTATTAATTCCATCTATTGTTACGGCCAGAGATACATACTATCATTTACGCCTTTTCTTCCTATTCCATCTATTTCCATCTTAAAAACACCATCTATTTTTAAGGCCAGAAATACATACTACCATTTACGCCTTTCTTTAAAAATAAGAAGTTTCTCAACACACACAGACGCGCGCACACACACACACACACACACACACACACACACACACACCCTGCACCAGCACGGGATTCCGGCGATCCCTCCTCGCCCCCGGCTACCCTCTCCCTGTCGCAAGCAGCTGTGCCGGCAGCCCCCGCACGCCGCCTCGGCCATCTCAGCCTCCCGCGGTGGCCCGGGAGCACACCCCCTGCGCAGCGTCACCTACCCTGCTTGGAGCACTCGACGGACGCGGGACTGCCGCTGCTCCGGAGGGAAAGGCTCCCAGGACAAGCCGAAGGAAAGGAAAGGAGAAAATAGAGGAGGGAAAGCTACTTTACTTCCCACAACAAGGGGACGTGTTGTGCCCCATGCACTTGGTTGCTCAGCAGCTGTGGTTTCGGAGGAAATACGCAGCGGCCGAAAAAGCTGCAGCTGGGGTGGAAAGTTGTGGGTGTTTCCCCCCACCGCCGCCCACGCCTCGATCCTCTCCAGTCTCCGCCGCAGTCTTGACAGCTCCCCGGACCGTGGAGACCCTCCGGAGCCCCGCGGGTTTCCCCCGGAGCCGGGCTGAGTTGCCACATGCACTTGAGAAATCCTAGCAGTTGCGCAAAGAGTCCCAGAAGTTAGAGTGACTGTGTGTGAATGTGTAAATATACAGTACAAGAGGCTGGAACAACTGAGCGGGGCCAACCCTCAGACGCAGTCCAGGGTTTCAGATTTCATTTGGCAACTGGCAGCTTCAGAAGATTCGAGCCGCACTACTGGGGAGGCCGAGAGGAGCGGTGCCCTGGCCCTGCGTCTCACTGCTAGGTTATCTCTGAGGCTGAGTGACACAGGCGGGCGCCAGGTTCCCCCACCACCAGACAGAGCCCCGCCCTTCCTCTGTCCCTCCGCAGCTGGCATTACTCATTTCGTTTCTTATGTATCACAGATATGTATCCGTCACCAGATCTGAGACTCTGGGTACGGAGACGGATGATAAATACAGGTCTCCTGCCTTCCAGGAGCCCTGCGTTTCTTTGGCCAAACCCCACACACAAGTTTTATTTGCTTCCCTCGGCTCTCTCTTTGTAAAATCTTATTTCTCCAATCAGAATTACCTGAGTCATTAATCCTGCATTCCTACAAATTTGTATTTAGATGGATGCTCTCAGATCCTTGGAGAAAGGCAAAACATAATCACTTCCTTATCATGGTTTAAGAGCTCTCAGAATTGCACAGTACGAAAGAAGGGACAGAGTAGTAAAATTTTGGCTGATGTAACCTCTTCTCTTCCCACTACCACCAAAAAAAAAAAAAAAAAATGCCTATTTCAAATCTAGATCTTCTAACATAGATTACCTGAAATGCCAACTCAATTATTTCAAAAAGCTTTATAAAGATCTCTGCTTTAGATTGCTTACAAATCATCACCAGATTTCCTTAAGACATAAGAGTGTTCTCATTAGGAACCTCCAGTGATAAAGAAGAGCACATGTGCAAATTTAGAAACACCAAAAATAAAAGCCTATGTAGACACTTGGGGTGGCTGTTCTTTTCTCTCTCTTTCTTTTTATCCTCTTGCTTCCCGGTGATCTGCCCCATCCCAAGCTGATGCCCCACTAAAAAAAATTTTTTAATTCTTCTGGCTACAGAATTCTCAGGCCTTTAGTGAGTCCAATTAAGTTCTGCAGGGGGAGGAGGGGCTCTCTTTTGGCATTTCCTTTTTTGAAATGTGCTTGGAATCCCTAACCAGAAGCAAGGTAGCTTATTTTCTAATTGGTAGGAATAAATGACCTTTATCAACCCATATGGCTTTACGAGTTGCAGCTACACCCTGGCAGATAAATGCCAATGGGCAGTTTTAGATGAAAGCTGGAAAACAATTAAATTAACCAAAATGAAATCTGCACACATTTGATGGACTCAAAAGCTTCAGGAAGACAAGTATCAAGAAGTATGATTCAAGATGGTGACATTTAAAAAAGACAAGGAAACTCTCATGTCTGTAACCTATTTCAGGATCTAACAGTTATTACCCCAAGCAATTTAGACTCAAGACAATACAAAATTGAGCTCAGGATGGTTACTGGGTTAGTCCCTAATCCGAAAGGTTAAGACATGCCTCAGGACACAGCCTTATACCCAAATGTTGCCCTTCACATTTCCTGACTTCTGTCTCCATGCTTTCCACATAACATCACTTCACTGACATGTGTGACATATGTGATTATCTTAAGCTAGACAATATAACTGAAGGATAGGAAGATTTTCACCTGAGGATTAAGCACAGGGGAGGTATATCTACCAAAGCCTCACTCTTTCCCTCTCTTACTTCTCTACAAAAAGACAAGGGCACTGTACTCCTTTTCTAGAAGTCCCTTAGAGATTTAGCAAAGGTCTTTGTTACTACAGAGTATAACCCAAATTAGAACATGCTTGGCTGTTCAGTGGACTCAGGCTGTTATTCTTCTCTTATTTGTGGATTAATTGGGACTGGGAGACATCCCTTATACAAATTGTAGAACTTTAAAGAAGAAATAAACTCTTAGAGATGTAAAAGACTCTAACCAAAGGAGCCTGCTGATGTGACTGATCCCGACTCCAGGGAAGATGGTGTCTGTCATTCAATTCCCAGAGCAGCAAGTGAGAACTTGACCAGGGCATCACTTAAAGCTGAATTTTAGCAGTCAACTCAATTCTGAGTTAAAAGCACGCTTGAGATAAACTCTTCAAAACCCACAAATGCTTCAAGGGTGAAGGCTAACTTTCCCAAAGATTCCTAAGTCAGAAGGGTTTATGATTCTTCAGAAGAAGGGCATATGAAAGTCAGTATAAAAGGCAGGTAGGGTTTGAGGGACCTCAGATTTACAAGGGAGAAGAGTAATACCTCCAGGGCCAGGGGGATTTCAGGGACCTAAAAATTCAGTAGGAAGAGGAGAAAAAGGAGGAGGAGAGAAAGAAGATAATGGTCTCACTACACTTGGACAAGTTTGAGTAACAGTATTGCCAGAGTCAAGGACAGAGGAGCATACATAGACAGAGTCCCCTGGACACTGTTTCTGTCAGGCTGCTTTGATTGGAATTAAGTTAGAGGAACCTCAACAAGAGTTTGCACAATCACTTTGTCTAATGTTTCCAGTACCTGAGTCAAAGTGTACTATTAAACATATGGGGATGGGGGAGGGTATATGAAATAGGGTGAAGTAAGTCAAGAGGTACGAATTTCCAGTTATAAAATAAAACACATATGGATTAAAAACATGTTTTAGTACTCTTAACTACTTTAAAAGTTTCAGTTTTCCACCAGATTCCTTGCCAAACTCTTTGAAGACCTTAGCATAGAGTAATGTATTGTCATGTTACCCACTTGGCCATTAATATTAGATAGTGGGACTCTAATTATGTTTTCTTTTAGGGAAAAATACATTCCTAAGAGGGCAAAAAACATAGTAACAAAACTGAATAGTCAACAACTGCCAAAATCCTAACATTTCCTCCAGGCTCTCACCAACAATGCAGAATTTGTGTGGGTACTAAAATATGCCAAGATCTGATTTCAGTATTAAGATAGAAGGCTGTGCTTTAAAACACATTGATTTCAAAATGTCTAGTTTTGTTTTTTCTTTTTATTTCCTGGTGGAATTTCCTTTTTGAGAAAGTCTACTTTTGTCTTAGCTAAGTAAGGTTGGAAAACACTGAGGGAGTTTCATGCCTACTGGCTCCAAAACTATGGATCACATGATTCAGGGAAAGGGGAATGTATCACTACTGTTAAAAATGGTGAGGCCAAAGGAATCCAACCAAATCCCCCATGAGAAAGATAATAAAGGAGATTATGAAAGAGATGGGGTTCTCTGGCATCAGAGTTCTTTCTGACTTTATAATTCCATCACAGGCCTGCTACAAGTCAAGGCCTTTAAAAGTGAAGCATGCTGTATGCCTCTTTAGATCCTGACTGGAGCATGGTATCAACCATCACTATACTCTTATTTAATTGGCATATTTTGGTGGTAGCCTATGTCACACTCCATCATCCCTTAGACTGCAGATTAGATTGTACCCAAAACAACAACAACAGAAAAAAACACTCACGATTAAATTGGTTAAATTTATTTTCAAAATAATGTTTACTGGTTTCTTGCCTAATTACAAAATTAATATATGTTAACTCATAAAACAAGTAGCCACAAAGAATCATGTAAAGAAGAAATTAAAAATTGCCATGATATCATCATTCAGAGATAAGTATTGTTAACATTCTTAATATGTCTAAGTTATTCTTCACTGCTTTGTATGCACCTATTGTATATAACAGTTTGAATCATATTACTAACCAAAGTAAGGTTCTTCTTTCCTGGGCCATAATTTCAAACCTCAGTTTCCAATTAAAATGTTTTTTTTTTAAATACTGTTTAGACCTAAACTCAGGAGTCTATTGGGTTCTATTAAAGAACTAAACTCTCCCTTCCAAGATATGCAGATTCCCCCTGCCCAGTCAGCTCCCAGAAAAATCTCCTCATTATACTTTTAGTGGACATTTCTAAATCTCTCTCTTACTATTCTAGTTTCCTTGTGCTTGCTGACTCAATTTCTCTAAAATAGCCTGCATTTTCCTATCATTCACATTTCTGCTTACCACCTCATCTCCTTTCTCTACTCACCCATGAGTACAGGTGTTCATGCACACACATGTGCAAACACACACTCATACCATGCACACTGATATCACATGTGCACATCCATAAAGTAAAACATTCTTCCGGACATGCAACTTTCCACTTGTAGACTCAATTCCTAATATAAAACTAGGATGATCAGGGCACCTGGGTAGCTCAGTTGGTTAAGCATCTGACTTCAGCTCAGGTCATAATCTCACGGTTTGTGGGTTCAAGCCCTGCATCAAGCCAGCCCTGTGCTGACAGCCAGCTCAGAGCCTGGAGCCTATTTCAGATTCTGTGTCTCCCTCTCTCTCTCTGACCCTCCCCTGCACACGCTGTCTCTCTCTCTCTCTCAGAAATAAATAAAACATTTAAAAAATAATTTAAAAAATAAAACTGGGATGAAACTTAAAATATTTAAAAATCTAATTCCATTTGAGAACCTGAGTAATAGCAAAATGAGCTTACTCTCAATATACATACCTTTTTATAGATTGCAAGCTCCTTCTGATGTCAAAATATTCTCATTAAGTTTGTGAGTTGTAGAACATTAAATACTACCATTGAAATAATACTATTCTGTTCCCAAGAATTATTTGTTTATGGCTACCTAAATTATGTGTAACTTTTAAAATAGTTCCCTATGCCTTATACCCAAGCAGATAGAAGTTAAACTGTCAATACATCCTTTACATATGTCTAATGGCAGTGTCATGTGTATATAAAACAAACTAGGAGACTATTCCAGGAAGACAATGACCAAATGGCAGTTCAAGATATGGGCTATTAACAAAAAGACTATATTGAAAGAATATATGCACCTCTATAT